GGGGGTTGTGCATTTTCCACACTGCTCGATTTTTTTTTCGTCCTTCAGACAAGCAGGATATTTTTTTATTACATCTGTGTCCTTGCTCTATATTTTTTTTCTCTCAACTTTCAAAATCAATATAATCATTATATGTATTAAATATGCATATTTAAATATGCATACTTCAAAACTGTACAATGACCAATGTAATATTTGACAGTTCTTAGACTTTCAGCAAATTGAGATGAAAGCATAGCAGGATCTGTCAAATCTTTTATTTTTGTTATAAAATATTAGAAAACGAAAATCTGGAAATGCCAATTTAGCATTTCCAGTTACAATTTAGCATTTAAAGTTTTGGCAATTTTGCACCTTCATATTTTAAAAGCGCATGAAAGGCACTGTTTGAACATGGTAATATAGCTATATACAATGAAATGTTTTACCACAAAGGAGCCAACTTATGGCCCTCAATGGGTTTTATATAATTTTGACGACTTTGCCTACAGAGGCTATGCAAATTCACGATAAATCACAATTTACCGAGCATTGCAAAAATGGTGTACATATTATATAATAAATTTGATCTATAATGAACGTCGTCGTATATAAAACGCATTTAATAGGCCATAGACCAATTGCGAAACTTAGTAGCCGCGCCTTCATACTGCACGAGAACGAGGCTTATTATGCAAAAACAAAACAATTTCTATATTTTCATATAGCAAAAAGTGAATTTTAGGGTTTTTAAAGTGTTTTTTCTTGAATCTCTTTGATCTTTTCTTAATATTTCGTGCTAGGTTATATAAATATTTGTTAAATTTATCTAAACATCGATTTCCCACTATATTTTTACTCGCTTTGGAAAGATATTTCGTTGTTGTTTTAGCATGCGATAGAACAAACATATGGAAAAGATCAATCTAGACTTTACTAAAATCTGATCAAGATGCAAATAAAATAGCCAGTATAACTTAACAAACTAAAATATAACTCTTTCTACCCAGATTTTTTTAGACTTCGTGCGAGAAAAAAACGATTTTGTCAAAGGAAAATAACATAAAATTTCTACAAATTTTCCCCGACATTTACTTTCATATTTTTAAAGTTAAAATCGAAAACTTGCTATTATATTACAACTGAAACAAAATTAATCAATGTTACAACTTATTCTTTGAAATGTATTAATAAAACAGACGGAAAATACCTGATTCTTTCTCTGGTATAATCTGCTTCTTTTATCGGACGGCCAAAAACAGCAAACCTTTGCCTCGCACGCCGCGAAAAACAATGAAATTTGAAGTAAGACTAAATCTATGAACAAGTTTAATAAAGATTTACATAGTCAAAACAAAAATATTGAAAAAAAATGAAGAGATTACCATAAAAACGCGTCTCAAACACTGAAATTCATTTTTCCCCATATAAAAATATAGCGGAATGATTTGTTTTTGCATAATAAGCCTCGTTCTCGTGCAGTATGAAGGCGCGGTCACTAAGTTTCGCAATTGGTCTATAAGCTGGGCTCCTGGGATTTTACCAGATTATACGAATTTGGAATGGACGTAGAAGCAGCTAGAAGGGATATACCCAGCAGGGGTTGATAGTGCTCTTTTTTGAAGGCCAGTGCCAGGACAATTTCGTTCCCACAGCCCATCATAATGATACCATGCCCCATCAGATCTCTTGACTGCTCCACAATGGTGTTGACCATTAAAAAATGTCATGCCCATCAATGTATAAAAGCTTGATAGATAAAAATATTATACTTTGATTTATATCAGTATACAAAAATACCTCAATGCTGCGCTACCGTCACGAGGTATGTATACTATATACAGTATGTACTATATATACAATATATGTGCGTTTGTGAGAAATATGTTCTCATTAAGCTTTTTAAACTCAGAAAATAGTCAAGAGATTAGGGGATCAAATCGAGTGGGTTTTGATTTCTAGACATGCAAGCGCGCTTTCCACTACGCCACCGAAACCCCAGCACTCGGTGAGGAGAATCATGCATTTTTTGGTATTTATCAGATATGTATATACTTTTCTCCTGTCGATATCACAGAAACTGGTATCTGTGTGGCATCTGTGACAATCCCCTTCGTGGCAAAGAATTCCAATGATATTGGGAGAAATAGAGGAATATCAACGGCAAATTCTCGTTTTGTTAAAGTTCTTTTCCCGCCACAATAATACTGATACTTCTGTCTGCGAAGATAAAGACGAGTATTAAAATTTAAATTATAAACAGCGTGACGTTGCACGCGGTTTTCACAGGCAATAATTATATTAAAACAATACTCTTGATATAAGTATTAAAAGTTTTGTTGTATAATTTAGTTTCACGCTAGACTTACACTATTTTCCCAGAGGTTTCGTGGATGTGATTCACCAAACCCAAATAATGCGGTGTTCCAGGAACAATTTGATGTATTGCCACGCCACATGTAGTCTGCTTGGTGTCTGTAGCCATCCAGTCATCAAGGGAAGACTGCAGCAATGAAGGGGGAGGTATTCCAACATCACTATACAAAAATAAGATTTGAACATGAAGATCTTGATCTTTGGTCTTGTAGCCTTGTACGTTTTATTAATATATGATATTTTTTACTTGTGTTAAAAAAATAGAAAACAGTTTACAAAAGTATTAAGTAAATATATTTTTTTATATAAAATACTGTTAACGTTTGCATACACATCCATTCAATAATTCATTTTTCGCTATTTTATAATATAAAGCATCATCGGGTTTGTTTCAAAATTATTTTTTGCAGTGCAAATGTTTACAATGATACCAGGGAAGATTGCCCCAAATGCAGAATATTAAACAAATGTGAAGCATACACTGAACCTTAATGCAATTGAATAGGAAACGAAATCCTTTGTTGGCCATGGGCACGCATGCGAACTGCATGTTCCAGAATACTTGGACATAATGGTTGGTTGTAGCCGTGAAATGAACATATCTTCTTCTTTGCCCCAAAAATTAAGGGTCGGTAAATTTAAAGGAAATCGCCCTTGCAAAAGCGAGATCCAACAAAGTTTTCCATCCGCATAATGTCCTTGGTCACACAAATGTTTAATCTTGATGAGCACTGAAGCATAACTGTCAACTGAATCACGAAGTTGAGTGTAAAAAGCATTGAAGTCGTTCATTAAAACGTAAAATATGGTAAGAAAGTTGTCAATAGGGCAGGTGTTCGTCAACATTCGTACTGCATGGTTGCTATTGTGAACTGGTCCCCCCCCCCCCCATGGAGGAACTCTCAAAGACTGACTTGCTGGCTGTACTCGAACAGTGCGAGGGAGAGATATCAACGTAGAAAACGGTTTCCGCGATAGTGAAGACTGCAAATTACCAGCATTTGACTGTTTAGAACTTGAGTAGAAATGCTTTTTGATATCCTCAATCTTCTTTGCTTTCGTATATCCCTTGGCTTGGCACTGTGTCTTCGACATGCCAATCTGTTGCACCAAATACAGGTGCAGTTGTGATACATATAGTTTATCCAATGTATTCGATGAAACACGAGTTGACCAGTTAATTTCATCAAAGGTTTTCGTCTTCTCAAGTGCCCTAGTGTCAGCGATTGTCTTCTTTGAAATTGCTGCTTTAACTTTAAGGTCATAACGCCTTTTCAGTTCCTTTTCTGTAACCTCGTGGAGATCATTTCCAACATATTTCTTTACAAAATTATCCACATTACTTTGATACTTCTGTAGACAGTTGTTTAAGTCGACCACCGACACAGAAACAGAGCCATCGCTATGAACCTCTTCTGTTGTTTCAAGTATTGGTTCTCCACATTTCTCCATCATTTTCTCAAGCTGCTTTCGAGGACAATAATCGTCTAGTTCCCTTAAACAGGCATCCTTGACAATTTTTTTCTCAAGCCCAAACCTTTCGAAAACATCACCCTCTAACACTTTCTTCGTAGCTAAGTAGTGAAACTCGTCTTCACAGCTATAGTCGGGAACAGGGGGAAGAACTCTAGCTAATGGTTTACCTTCCCATCCATTCTTTAGGGTATTGGCATTTTCCATAGACTTGTGGAAAGTACACGCGTCTTTGTTTCCTTCTGTACATCCATTTCGTATGCCCTCGCATCCATTGTCATATACATAATAATGATCTTGGAAGAATGTCTGTACAATTCTAAAATATCCTTCTCCAGCACAATTAGAAAGCAGTGTTGGAGAGCTGGCATTTAAACATTTCGACATAAAATCGTCGTCAAAAAAGAACTGTCGATGGAGATCGTAGCTGGGAGTTGTGGAGTGGATTGACGTGCCCATGCATGGCTTACCATCATAATGGCTGCTAACATCCATTGCACATTTTTTGGCAGCGTTCTCGGACCTCTCTAATTGTACCCTATTCACTTCATCCTTACTGATGCTGCGGAGGGCCGATCTGCCATCTTCCGTGAGAATAGATCCCTCCCCATACTGAATAGGAATTGAGCGTCCGTCTCCCAAGCATTCATTCAAAGAGCGCATCACTTTCTCTGCCACGTGGGATGGTGAATCTCCTGATATATTTGATAAAACGAAAACAACTGTTAATATACAATGGTGTGCAATTTATAAATTAAATCTCAGCAGATTGAAAAGACATTTTTTATGCAATTTCATGGCAGCCAGACAAGAAACCAGATTATGAACGCCAGTCCGGTCCATAACAAGTTTATACAGTTCACGACCCAACGTTTCGACAATCATGTATACAGGATGTATAAAAAAAAGTAAGACAATTTTGAAATTGCTCTCAATTCCACAATTCTGTTCATGAAATGTAATTTTTTATATGTATGGATTGCTTGAGTTCTTAAATTATGGAAAATATAAAAAAATTTGAAAATAGTAAATTTTGCTATCCAGGGGGGTGGTCAACTTTTGCTCTCCTAAAAGTGGCTTGCGCACAGAAATGACAAACGGTATTCTTTATTTGAGAATGTCATGTATGAAAAGTTCGCTATTTGTTGCATTTATGATAAAATTTCGGCTTCGCACGTGAAGGGCATCGTACATCTGGATATTCTTTCGTGAAACTTTGGCGAACCAAGTTTATGTTGTTGCTACGGAGGAACTCTGATACCGTAAAAGCTCTCTGCTGCGGGGTAAATTGTGGCATCGCCATTTCAAAGTGTACGGGGCATTATACGAGAGAATGCGTTTCAGCACAAACAACTCGAAAGCACAAATTCCATGGAAATTCCACGGAACTCTCATGGGAGCAAAAATGAATTCATAATAAAGCAAGAACAGCACCAACAGAGAAAAATGTAACGTTTTCATAGGCTTTTCGGAGGATTTGTACTCGGTAAAATCCTGCCGAAATTTTATCATAAATGCAACAAATAGCGAACTTTTCATATATGAACTCAAATAAAGAATACCGTTTGTTATATCCGTGCGCAAGCCACTTTTAGGGGAGCAAAAGTTGACCACCCCCCTGGATAGCAAAATTTACTATTTTCAAAATTTTTTATATTTTCCACAATTTAAGAACTCAAGCAATCCATATATAGCAAAAATTACATTTCATGAACAGAATTGTGGAATTGATATATATATATATATATATATATATATATATATATATATATATATATATATATATATATATATATATATATAATCTTCCAACTTGGTTAATGTAAAGCTCTAGTCAAAACTGTGAAGTAAAAAACTTAATGCAACAGTTATGCTAAACAGTAAAAGTGTCCATGGTTTATTCAAACTTGAAAGTAATAAATTTATTATGGAGGACAGGTGACAGGTGCTTTATTTGCATCCATCTTGTCTGTCACAGCACTGAAGCATGCAAAACAAAGGAATATATTGTCTTAGCCGTCGGCAGATGTACGTTACCGCTCCTAGTGAGGAAAGGCCCCAATATATTCGTTGCAGGATTGAACTGGTATATTATAGCAGGTAATCTTGGAACTTTACCCATTCCGTTAGTTAAATGAAATTTCGGTTTATCAGCGTAAATCGAAACGGCTTTTCTCAGCCATAAGCTATAAACCATGGCGCCTCAAAGCTTTTATTGAATGTTCTAAGTATGCAGGCAATGATTAATTATTTATATGTATTTATGATTGTATGTGTACACGCCGATCATATACGAATTTTGTCAAGTTCATAAAACTTGGTTTAAAAAAATATTGAATTTAACTACTTGAGGTGTCTATCCCAATATTAAACGTTTTCGCCTTTACTATTAGCCGTAGAAGTAGTACATATACTACTTCTTACCTTACAATCGAGTAGTGTGTATGCATGGATGAATATAATTATTTGACATCGGCTAAGATCAATTAAGCGAAATGCGAAACTCGCGAAGCCAAGATCTATAAGAAATCGTTTATATTTATTTCATTTGTCTATATCATTCAGTCAAATTCCTTATATTTATTTGCAAGCTTAAATTCCGTAGAGGATATATTTTAATACTAAATTATTGAAAGATCAAGCAGCGTCGCTTTGTTGTGAACTGTTGATCAATAAAATATATTAAGAGCGTCAATCACAAATATAAAACACTCGCTAGCAACGAGGAGCAAATCTAATTTATATTCTAACAAATTAACCCGGGTTCGCCCCGAGTTTAATTCTAACCCAGGTAATTGTAACTGTAAGTTTAATTAACTCTGACTGGTTTTTTCTTTTCAAGTTAATATGCATACGGGAAACTTGGGTTCGATGTGCGTTATACAGCGTGTGTAATAACTTAGGTAGGCTAATATCCAACTTTAGCGTACTTTGTGCATCCAATAGTAGGAGAATAGGTTCAATTTTTCGTTTTAATACAGAGTATACTGTAGTTTTAGCTTTTCAATGACATTCAAGCAAAAATGATCAAATACGACCCGATTCAAAATTGCCGATGGAAATCACATTTTCCACCTTTGTGCATATATAATTAACGTCGGTATACCCTACAAATGAAAATTTAGCAAATAATCACCTATCGGCAGGGCAGGTGTCGGAAGCCTGGCTCTCCCCGCCCTAGCTCCTCACAATAATTTCCTCATCTAGGATTGTAGGCCTATTTCTTTTCATGCATGACAATTACGTACAGTCAACATATCCGCCACAATTCGTTGTTATACATTGGTATTGTGTATATACATTCAAACGAACGTTGTTTCACTGAATTGGGGAATAAAGTTGTTAAAAGTTATAAAGTGCATTACAACATCTTGAATTTTTAAATCGAAGAACTTCACAGCTTTGATAAAAATTCCTATCAGGAAACACGGAAAATGCTCTTCTGACGCCCCATGCAGATACCCCGGCAATTTCGACCGGCAATGTTTATATTCAAGTCCTATTTGATCATTTAAGTTACAGCAACAAAAATCATGCTTTTAGGCTTTATTAGCTGTCCAAAGTATACGTGTAAAATTTTATCGATAAACGTAACATGCATCTGACGCACGCCGACGCGAACATGCTAAAGTTGAATTACCGAATCCGGCCATTTTTATCAGTCTACATGAAATATACGCAAAAAATGGAAGAATAACTTAGTTATATGAAGAATATTAAATTTTTAGTATTCCCATGACCAAATCTTTGTCTAGCGGATGAAATATATAAAAAATTGTATCTAAAAATGTCGAAAATCAAGCCCCAGGCACTTAATTAAAAATACAAAATTTTTCCGGGGCCAGACAAGTTTCCGCTTTAATTTCCCATTCACCACCCAGCTCCTAGTTGGGTCCCTTTCTCCTGATGGCCCATCCACTGACAAATTCTTAAAAGAGGCCCAGGCCTGCTTATATTGATCCTATATTCTGGAGAAAACTTTGACCAATAACCCGCGGCGGGTTAAGCCCAGTAATAAAAAAATATAATTAAAAGTTTGGCAAGAATATTATATTGGTAGGGTAATGCATCATATGGGTAATGTAATTAATTTGGGCCAAATTGCGTATATATATATATATATATATATATATATATATATATATATATATATATATATATATATATATATATATATATATATATATATATATATATTATATATGCACACTGTTATAACCAGGGTTATAGTTTTGTGCCGCTTGTATGTGAAATCGCACGGTCTAACTTTTAGCATTTGGAAACATTCGAATCTAAGAGCTGTCCGACTTTTTGCGACTTTATTCCAAAATTTTAAGCTTATTTCCATGCAGTTAGGAATTAGTGTGAGGTTTGAATATGTTACTTGAAAATGTGTATATCATCCCATATTTAGCGTTTCTTGGATTTCATATCGGGCTTATGAACATATATATAAAACGCAGTTTTGCATGTGTTTGGCACATCAGCTTGCGAACGACTTTTGTAGCAAAATGTAAATATGTTTTACTCAGCACGCTGAATGTTGACTACTTTAATTTTACCAAAACAATATATAACTACAACTACATTGTAAATTGTCTCTTCTGATACGTGGAAATTAGGTATTGATTCTTAGGCCTGTTTCAAACGTCGCGCTTCTCATACGCCGATTGCCGAACTCATTATAGAAACATTTATATATAAATATAATAAGGCATTTCAGCTGATTATCTATTGTTTTTAATGCGTTCGGCACATTGGAAACGCGACGTTTGAAACACGCCTAAAAATCATTACGTTGACAACATATACAATACGTTGACAACATAACAATCAATATATTGACAACATATACGTTGACAACAATACGAAATTTACGCCACCAGAGAAAATATTAACAGATATATTTTTCAAAAGAAGCCTTCCGTGCTGTATTATACAAAATTTATCTCTTCCACTAACTTGCCTACTTGCCCAAAAAATTCTTGTCCATCATAGGAATTAAAAATCATCGTAAAAAGGTAAAAGTGTAGAAGCTTAAAAATGGTAGAAGGAGAAAATCTGAATATAAATGGAAATTACGTAAGTTTGAAATACTGTAGAGAATTCATAAATTTGAAATACTGTAGAGAATTAATATCAGTGATGAGTTTAGATTTGACTTCAACTCCAATACTATAACTCTACCCTGATTATAAGAAACCATAGCCAATCACATGCATGCGCCTAATCCTTCCGATTAACCAATCATATGCCTACTAAGTCGTGTTTACACTATATACAAGCCTAGCTTGGCCTAGCCTTGGCCTTGGCCATGAGGCCAAGATAAATGTGGCGCGTTTACACCATTACACTATATTTTTTTGAGACTGGCTCACTTTGGCCTAGAATTTTGTAATTAATTTTGTGTATTTTTATGTGTTGTGACGTTGTTCGCTGGTTGTTCGCTGGTTGTCCGCTAATCTCTCACCAGATGTGAACACACGTTGCCATGAAAATAAGGCGCAGGCCAGGGCCGAAAGTGTTTACATTTCCACAAGCCCAGGCCTATAACCAGGCCACCAGTTATAGTGGGCCCAGATTTCCTGGCCTAGGTCAGGCCAAGGCTAGGCCAAAGTCTGTTTACACTGTCAAAATGTAGGCCAAGGCCGGGCCAAGGCTGGTAGTGTAAAACGACTATAGATAACGGGTGGTAGTGTGTGGACGTCAAATTTAAATATATATACTATCATTTCGAAACGGTTCTCTTAGCTATAGTCCAGTTTGGAATGTAAGTATTGTGCACCGGACATGTCCGGAGCACAACACCCTTCATTGGTGCACAATCTGGTGCACAAAATTTTACAATATTAATCTGTGGTGCACACATGGTGCACACATAACAAGTTAACTAAGGGTGGCGCACTGGTGCAAAATTCAGGATTCCCAATATTAATTTATCAAATAGATTTAACGGCAAATAGTAAAACCTATTTCTGGAAATGTGTAGACCTGAGCGGGGTAGACATTGCCGCTATGGACAATATATTCCCTTTTGATCTATGGATCGAGGATCCAATATAACGTAAACTAAATGAAGTACTTTGAAATACTGCTGACCACTTGAAACTTTGAGTTGAATAATATTTCGAAGGCTTTCTGAGAAAAATTGACTTTCCGAGAAAAATGTAAATTTCGATTTTATAATGTTGTTTTCTGACCATCAAAATTGTGTAAAATCTTCTGTCAAAGTCCAGGAAATGGCATTTCAGGGACTTTAAATTTAAAAATTTCTTGGGAGTGAATGCTCCTGCACCAACTCCCCCCCCCCCCCCCACG